TAGAGCATATTGTATACGAAATAATTCTGGATTCTGTATAGAAAAATAAGACCACATATAGTTGTAGATGGCCTGGCTATTAATACTATATCCCCTTCTTGCATTTTAGGATGCATCTAAGGTATAGTGGTTAATAGTCTTTGTACAGGGTTGTAAATGCCTGGTTATGAGACTATTGTCTTTATTTTTGTATAGGTGAGGATTGTTTTGGTATGGGTTGGTGCTCACGAATATGTCTCTCACCAGGATCTCATAATATGTAGCGTCCAAGCCGTGAGATTCGGAAACTTACAATCTTGTAAGGCTAATACATATTACAAAAAAAAAAATAAAATAATTTAAATTTGAAAGTTTTTAAAATATATTTTATAAAAAATTTTATTAATAAAATGTATAAAATCGTATTATGAAACTATATGTTTTTTATTAGACGGCTTTTTTAATTTTATAAAAAAATGTTTTTATTAAATTTGATTATATAATTTTAAAATTAAAATTGAATTTTCTTGATAACTGATTTCTCTAAGAGTTCTGTTTTTCGTTTACCATTAGCTTTGCTTTTCAATTTCATCTCTTTGGTATGATCTAAATTGTCTGAATCATATTCGCTAATTTGAGAATCATAGTCTAAATTATCTTCAACAATAATTATATTTGGATTTTCTAATTCTTGTTTATATTGATATAGAGGTTTACAATTTGGGTAATTTCGAAGGTAGTTTTTTTTGTATTCTGGAAAATTTCTTCTCCAATAAATTTTATCATCTTTAAAAATAATCTCTCCATCTTTAAACTTATTAGCTTTGATTTTTTCTACCATTTCTTTATTAGAAAAATCTCCTCTATCAAATTCAATTTTCCAGATCATATTGCGAAAGTCCTCTTCAAATCCTTTGAGAAAGTGGATCTGAGTTGTTCCAGCATTCCAATTTCTAGTAAATTGAATACCGAAATCTAATCGTCATTGAAATTGCTACCAATCTCTATGTATAGTTGTGTTATCAACAATACCACCATGATTCCCAAAGTTAAAAGCTTTACTTGGTTATTTTCGTGATATCATAAATACAATTTTTGCAAGAAATAGAACAAATCCTCTATGTTTAATTTCAACTTTTTTTGGTGTATTATTCAACAACTTTACAATATCATTCCATGCTAAACAAGTATACCATTCATAAAAAAAAACTATCTCATGTCCAGAATAATCATTCTACCAATTGCTTCCACTCTTCTGTTTCTGAGGTTTAGAGTAAAGTTCTTCTCTAAATAGTTTTTGTACCAAATTACTCTTTCCTGAACCCCCATTTCCAAACAGATAAATTACGCATGGTCTCCAGAATCTTTTCAAGTTCACTTCTCTTAACTCTTTTTTTTTCTTAATTAAGTGTTCCAAATCTTTCAAACTTCGTAACCAACTTCGTGGTAGTAATTCTTTCTTGTTCTTTAAAACATTTTCAACTGTTAAATCATTCTCAACAATATGCTCAATTCTTTTGATATCCTCTAATCTTTTTGCATTAATTTCATCTTTGTTTGTGAATTCATCAGCATTTGCTAAATAATGATAATTTCCAAATGCCCAAAATTCATTTTCCTCACTCGATAATTCCGAGGTTTCCAACATGCTAAAGTTCTTTTCTCGATACAATTCTTATTGCATACGTCACAAATTTTTTCTTTCTCTTGGAAATCACATCTACATTTTTTTCTGTGTTTAGAATCTTTGTATCGATTCTATTTCTTTTGACTATAGTCATGATTCTGGTCTGAATCACCATTCAAAAATTTTGGAAAATTCATTGCATTGTGACCAAATAATTTCTTTACACTTTTTATAGTATTTTGTTTATCAAATTAAAAATAAGCTTGCTCATAAAATTTTCTTGAATAGGTCGCTTCGTACTGACCAGAGACGTATGTCAAACCAAGTTTCTCCAATACTTCAAATTCTTTTTGTGTCTTTGGCAAAACGCATTGACATTTGATTTTAGATTCTTTGCAATAAAAATATGTAATCTTGTTACATTGGTTCAGTTTACAGTATTGATCGCAGGATGCTAGCTTATAGCACCAATGTTGCTTCTTACATCTGTCACATGTTGGAACAACACCAGTTTTAAAATATTCTTCTTTACGTTTGTGTTTTTCTTTTTCAGACATATTTTTCTTACATTTAAAATGAGTCAAGCAAGAAACACAATAATATACAGTAGACATAACATGTCTAAATCTATAATTACCAGACATATTTTTTTGTTAGTTTTGTTTTTTTAAATACAAATCTGTTTTTGTTCTTTTTTATTTTTTATTTTTTCGGATTCCTCTCATATTTATAATAATTTTAATTACTGTGCCATACTAAACCAAATTAGGTAATTTTTTTCTAATTCTTAAAAAAGTAATTTTTAATCTTTTTAGCAATCATCTAAAAAGGAAATTTAATTGTTATTGGTTCTTGCACAATTTACTGTGCGCAGATTTAAAAAGTATAAAACACCCTAAATTCTCTCTTCTAAAACCAATTTTTTAGTTACAAAAATAATAATGAAAAATTCTAAATCAGGAATAGAAAATATCCACTATGATACATCTAGAAAGGGATGGGTTTTTGAAATATACAAAAACAAGATCGTTCACAAAGATATTTCTCTGGAAATCGTGAAGATAAATCTGTTCTAAATCGCGCAATCGAGTATAAAAAGCAATACGAGGCTAAGTTAAAGGATATTACAAATACTATCAAATCTAAAACTGTTAAAGCAACAAATAACAAACTTAAAATTAATTTTATAATTAACTAATTTATATAGCAATGTTTTAAAAATTAACTAATGATGAGTACAAAAAATTATCTAAAGAAGAGAAAAGACATTATCGTAAATTAGAAAAACAAAATGAACAATATCAAATAAATAAAGTCGATCCAGTTTAGTCATACATTGATCGTTTTATTGATATTAAAGATATTTTTGAAAACAGAATAAATCTCAACGATCCAAAGCTTTATGAAAGATTTACATTAATTCTGAACAAAATTCTTCATTAGGTAGAGATATACAAAGTAAAAAAGAATGCCAAATTTGTACAAAAATATCAATATTTGCTTAATGAAATACAAACTTCAACAACATCTAACAAATTTGTTATAAGCATTTTGTTAAAATATTTAAAATTCGAATACAAACTACATATTTACAAAGACAAAAAAAAACTTCTGTTATCAATAGGTTTACTTGAAATATACTATAAAACAGTCGAACTAAAAATCTGGGAGCGTGATCATTATGCTAACTTAAAATCAAAAAGGAATAGATCATCTCCTCAAAAAAGAAAAATACCAGTACAAGCAATAAAAAAGTTCAACAAAATAAATCAAATTGCAGCTTATGATTTTAATCATGACTTTGATCATTTTGAAATCAATATTAGTAATCCAGAAATGTATAAACGTTTTCTATTTTATTTAAAAAAATTATTAGAACAAATCAGAAAATCTAAAATGAAAGAAACAAATCATATAGTAGTGACATTTGAAAAAATGCATTATAACTTAGTCAATTCTACAGATCCTAATACTTTTGTATTAGATTTAGCAAAAAACTTATACAACAAAAAACATTCTATCGAGGATTTTTATTTCAGACCAAACCTAATTTATTATTTTTATATATTGAAGTATATAATTCATCAAATCAACAAACAACTCAATAAAGCTTAAATATATTTTTATTCATTTATATCTGTTTAAAAATAATTATAAATCAATGTAAATTGATTCAGGCGAACAAACATATATTTTTTTTAACACACATAAACAATTTGATTTTTTTTTAAAGGCAAGCGGGAACCGCTTGCACAAAAGTTTATCGAAGTGAACGGAGTGTTCTTAATGAAATAAACTTTTGGTTCCTACTGAATTACTTTTGTAAAAATCTGAGTCGACATAGTTTTTTTATTTAATATTTTAATTTTCTTTAAATATAAAAAAAATATCCCATAATTATTTAATACGAAAGTAATTTATAAATACTTCCAGATTCTGTATTTTAATTTTTATTAAAAAAATATCTAATTGGCCAGAGAAGTTTAAAGATTTCGAAATCTTGACCGATTGAGAAAAATACAAGAATCTTGAAAAACCAAAACTTAAACTAAATGAGTATCATCTTGTGAAAATCAATTTCACTATCTATTTAGAAGTCAAAACTCAAAAACCTGAAATTACTTTTCTACTCGATAAAGAGAATTTTCATCTACTTCAAAATTATACCTGGACTTGTCATAAAATTGGAAATACATATTATATTTTATACAACAAAAATAAAAAAACCTTTACTATTTATAGTTTGATTTGTTCTAAGCTTAAAATGATTGACCATATAAACAAGAATGGTCTTGATAACAGAAGATGTAATTTAAGAGAAACAAACAAAAAAGAAAATATATTAAATTGTAAATTAAGTAAAAACAATATATCAGGTTTTAATGGAATCTATTTTGTTAAATCTCAGAATTATTGGAGATTCTAATGGTATGAGAATAATAAGGCTAGAACAAAATATTTTTATATTACAAAGAGCAGAACCTCAGAACAAGCTAAGCAATAATATATCGAATTTAAATTAGCTCACGATAAGAAAACTAGCAACAAAAATGGTTATTCTGTAATTTTTTAGTTATTTTATATTTTATTGCTTTTCGATTATATTATATTTTAAATTTTCATTTTAAATAAAAAACACAACAAAGTCTCTGTTAAATTTTGCAAATACAAAAAAAATTATCCATAATCCAAAATAAACGCTAATAATATTTACAAATAAAATTTCTAAAATACGAATTCTTTTCATTTCAGTAAGATTTACGTATGAGATAATAAAAATTGGCCATAAGAACTTTCTGTAAATAATTTTAACATAATGAAATACAATAGGTATATTGAAGAAATTATAAAATTTCAACAAATTCACAATATTTCTTATATATTGATTATCGAATCAAAACAATATTCCAATATTATTAAATAAACTAAAAATATAATTTGAAATAAATTCTTCAAATTCTTTTAGATTTGTAGCTTTATAATGATCTTTTTCGTCTTCACAGTCTCTCAAAACAATTTTTAACATGTCATTTAATCGTGTCAAATTTTCATTTGCTATATGAATCTGAATATTATCTGTTTCAAATTGATTTCTTTCAGTTACAAGTTCTTCATTTTTACTTTTTAAACAGATATTTTCCTGAATCAATTCATCTCTATCGGCATTTAAAGCAATAATCCTCTGTTGCAATTCATAAATTTTTGTTTGTAGTCTTGAATTTTCTGCTAATACGATTTCTCCCTGTAATTCTCAGTTCCATTTTTTGTTAAAAGCTATTTTCTTAACTAATTCTTCATGACCTCGATTTATTTTTATACTCTATTTCAAAAGAATT